CACTATTCCAGGGGCAGGAAGCTGGCACAGACTCTGAAGCACTGGCTTTATCCACAAGGAAGGAGATCAGTTGAACACTTACCACCTGGATCTAATCTTTTCACACTCTCAGAGCCATGCTCCAGTGCCAGGCACTATGGAGAGCTACCCAAGGGACTTTGCATTAGCTCTGAATGTCATGGTCCAGAGATAATACAATTCTAGTTCTTTATCATTTGCAATATCAGTGTAATTTTGCAGTTTTCAGTACAGTTTTCTGATTAGTAATGTAATTCACTTATTTTCTTTAGCCTCCAACCCTTAGGACCCTGGAGACAATCTTTCAAACCCCAAGTGAGCATAATCACCTCATAATGCCTGGATTGCCAATACACAAATGACACTTTTTTGCCTGAAATATTATCTAGGGGCATCCCACGGAAGATACATTTCCCCTTCCTTTTAGCTTGCTCTATGTGTGTGACAGCACATTAAATACAGCCAGTTTGCCATTCCATCTGCAGTTTGTGTCCCCTCACACACAGCACTGTAGGGGAGAGACAAGACAAGCAGTTCTCTTGCCTATTCAATTAACTGAGTTTTCATTTGTGCTGAAAGAAAAGGTGATGAAGGAACTGAGCTGCCCTAACTGCCCCTGCTCTGTGTGTCTCTTAGAATGGAGATGGAGATGAGTGCTATTTTTCAGCAAAAGGAAATGGAGAAAGCCCATCGGAAAGGACTGCTGGGCCTGGAAGCACCTTTCCTTTACCATGGGATGCCAGCAAGTCCCATTGCTTTCCGTGGCAGGCACAGGCTACCTGAGGGCCACCTTCCCAGTGACCTGTACGTTCATCGCACCACCCTGGATGAAATCCATGGGAACACCGTGCTCATGGCAACCAGCCCGTACCCGCCAGTGACCACGCTCCAAAGGGAGAGGGGACGTCGGCCAGGGAGAAGAGCTGGAAACCACAAAGCTGCCGACTGCAGTGCCAATGGCACGAAGAACCAGGCTGAGGACAAACCCACGGACCCTGCCTCAGCTGCAGCGGATGATGAGAAAGAAGACAAGAAAGAAATAGAGGTGGAGACACCAAACAAACACGAGCAAAGCAAAAATCAGGCTGAGCCATCTGCAGTTGCCAAAAACTGTAAAGAGTTTGAGCAAGGCTTGAGAAAGAACTGTGCTACTCATGAAATTTCTACTGAAACCAACAGCTGCAGCAACACAAATGAGAAGGAAGCCAATAGCTCCTGTGCTGCTTTTGATGACAAATACATGTACCCTTCTGCAATCCCATTCTCAGCATTACCATATGGATTTCCAGTACCCAACAACCCATTGCTATCTTCAGGTTTGTCAGATCTCCAAATTACAGTTATATGTTGAAATCATTTGTTTTTATTGATATGGTTTCTTATTTCTTCCCTCTGTTTTAAGTAAATTTTTGTTAAGGTAGAGTCATTGCAAGTAAATGTAGAATTCATATGCTGCAAACAGTAATAACTGAATTCAGTTCGTGCTTTAAAAATGAATATCAATTAAAATAAACAAAATTGCTGACTGAAGTTGTGAGTTAGTCTCTCCCTTCTGCCCATAACTCTTCTATGTGTCCTAACTCTCAGTAGGCACTATGGGTTAGCAAAGGCTTGGATCTGTTCTACTGACATATTGGTAAAATTAAAATAACAGTAACATCTAAGGAATCAAAAATATTGGATAATGTACTCATTAGAGGAAATACTGCAGCATCATTTGTATGTGTAGTGACTGGTAGGTACAGTGCCAGCAGTAAACAAAAAAAAGAAACACCAAAAAAATCCCCTCCAGATCCAGGTACTACTGACTATCTGGTGATTTTTTTGTCCAAGACTCCTGTCTGTGACTACACACTGCTATTAATTTATTGGGCTCTGGAGAAGCGTAAAAATTTTCATGTTAACAACCACTTCCTCCTGATTTGCCAGCAAAATTCTACGACCATAACTTCTGTGTTTCCTCCTCCAAGGAGCACATGGCCTGATCCTGAATGGAGAAGACATTTCCTCCATCGAAGACATTCGCAAGTGGACTGTTGATGACGTGCACAACTTCATTGTCAGCCTCCCAGGCTGCTCAGATTATGCCCAGGTGATTATAAACATTCATCATGTTCTCAGGTCTTTAGGGCCATCTAGACTGAAAGGTCACCAAATAAATGTACATGGAGGGGGTAACTGGTTGTCACAAAGTTACAAATATGATAGTAGTTTTCATTGTGCCATTAGGACATGAATACAAAGATAAATCAGTAAAATTATTATTTCCTCCTTTTATTCTCTGTGTCTCAGGATTAAGCATAAAAAATAACCAGTCTGTTTTAGATGTGTTTTTTTATTATGTGTTTTATCATTTCATCAGATATTTAAAGACCATGCTATTGATGGAGAAACCCTCCCACTGCTAACAGAGGAACATCTCCTGGATACAATGGGATTAAAACTCGGACCAGCATTAAAAATCCGCTCTCAGGTATGATCATTAAATGTATGCCCAAGTCACAGACACATGAATGAGCCAGAAGCTCACAGGATGAAATTTTTCCAAACTAAACCACTTTTTCTTTCACTGATAAGGTAACTACTATAATATTGGGAGAAAAGAAATTACTCCAGCACAGTTTGCTTTTGCTTCTCTGCATGTTACCGCAGCACACAGAGAGACCCTAAGGAATATGATCATACATTTTTCAGGGACAGTTAGTCCCTCTATGTTTACAGTTTTCTGCCCTCAATTTCATCCACTAATAGGAACTCTCTGTGTGTTTCTGTTGTTGTCTGGTTCTTTTCTTTTTCTTTTCTCTCACTCTTCTGTCCTTAAAACCACCTTCCCCACTCCTGGCTGGCAGTTTGCCTTCCCTCTGTCCCAGGGGTGTTGGGGATCCTCCCAGGGAGCAGGAGGATCCTGCAGTCAGGCCCCACACTCCCAAGCTGAGTATTGACAAGCTCCTTCCACAACCCAGGCTTAGAAAAATATGAAAGAGGGAAAATGCAAAAGATTTTTTTTCGCTTTTGCTAACCACTGATAACCCTTGGAGATGGTTGGGATCCCCTGGATGTCCCTGGAGTTGCTACACGAGAGTCAACCTTGATGTTTAGTGGCGTTGACAGTGTCTCGAGAAGCGACTGCTGCGATTGTGCCTTTGTCTTTAAAGGTGTCGCGACGCCTGGGAAACGTGTTCTACATGATGAATCTCCCTCTGCCGGTGCCCCTGCCCCCTGCTGCCGGGAAACCCTCGGAGCAGCCCTCTGACATGGCCTCCCCTCTGCACTGCAACAGCAGCGGGGACACGCTGGACAGTCCCTGCTCTCAGGACCCAGAAACTTCCCAAGCAGTGGAACAGATCGTTTCAGAAAGCAGGGAAAATCCCTGTGACACAGCTGGGTCTCAGGCTGACTTCCAGATGATCGCTTTCCAGAAAAGTTGAGCTAACTCCAGGACACAACATGTTTTTAATAATACCTCTAGTTACAAAGTGTTTGAGAAGAAGCTACAGCCTGAAACCTCTGTGTGGCTGAAGGAAATAAGCTGCCAATGCAGCATGAGGAAGTGTAGTATCTCAAAGGCATTAAAAATGCAACTACATGTTAGTGCAATTACTTTGAAGTGCAATTCATTGAAAAGAATAACACTATAGTTAGCAGGGAAATTTATTTTTTCATTAAAGTCCAGTGGCATCACTGAAAGCTGTCAGAGACTCAGAGTGCACTGTCTGTCTTACATCTGTCTTACCCTGTGTTCCTGTGGGTTGCTGAGAAACTACTTGGGAAAGTCACAGCTTCCACACATAGCTGACTCCTCCTTCTACTGAACAAAATTTATATCTATATGGAATTCATTGGGAGAGTATGGAATTACCTTCAGAATAGAGAGAAATTTGAGTTAATCCCAATTGCTATTCCAGAACTAAGCCTTTCTAAGTGCCTGGGAAGGAAATACAGGATATAAAGAAGACACACGGATTGAACGCTGGACATGAAAATACCATGTGTGACAGTAATTTTAATTTTATTAATTTTAATTTTAATTATTCCAAGGCATTCTTATCACCAGGGCTGGAATTTGCTTTGTGTGACTGCACAGCTGAGATGGGTTTAGGGGGAAGCACCAGCACACTGCCATGAAGACCAGTCACTGGAGGACAGTAACGTTCCTGCAGGCACCAGGCTCAAACCCACCTGGTTCCTGCCAACCTCTGCCAGAACAACCTTCCCCTTGGCTTGCCTGGGAAAGCCATGGAAAGCTGTTCACTCAGCAGCATGCTCAGTGTTCTTCTTTTTGGAAAAAGACACCAATTTTAGCCTGAAAACTCCCTTTTCTCTGCAAAAATATGGCTTCCCCTCACTTGTGCTACTGATGAGTCATTGTCTCACAACAAACAAGAACAAGAGAACAAGAAATAGAGCTTTTGGCTAAGGATAAACCCCCAGCATTTACTGTGATTTCTATGGGACTTATCTCTGTTCCCTCTGGAGGGGTTTGTTCATACACTGGTTTTCCACTGAGGCTTTGGAAGACAGTATATTTCCACTCTTCTCCTTGCAAGAACACTTCTTTACTCCAAAGGACAATTTTTGTAATTGAAGTTCTGTGAATTGAGGTTTGACAAATTGTAGATCTGCTGTATGTTACTACTTTAGATTTGCTCCCCTTAGTTTAGTTTGTGTGGCCTCAACTACTTAAAGCCCAATAGGTATAAAGCTGTTTAGACAGTGAGAGGCTAAACATGAAGGAGAGTATTTTCATATTCTGTTCTTTTACTTTAGCTTAAGATAACTTGTTTTATGTCTTTGCTATATTTGTGCACTAGATAATGTGTAATTAGATGTTTGCAACAGCAAGTTCAGATGTTTATCTTATTATACTGTCCAAACTTTGCAGTCTTTGGAAGAAGGGCAAATACCTATATTCTTTTTAGCATGTGCAACAATTTCTAACTTATTTTTGTACAACTGACAATCATGTCGCCAGCGTCACTTACCTAATTAAACACACTTAATGACCTGGTTTTCAAATGGCATCCTACCTCCTCACTGTATGAAATATTCGACTCATTCCACACGAGACTTTCTCCACCCTGGAAGAGGAATCCCTGACACGGCTCCAGGTGAGTCGGGCCACGAGATGTCGCTGCAAAGCCGCGCGAGGTCACCTGCTGCCCTCCCGAGGGAAATGCAGCACACCTGAGGGACAGGTAAAAGGGCAAGGGTGTGAAGAAACTGAACCTGTTTTTCTAAAGTAGCAGCAGAGACGCTTGACTTGCAATCCCACGTGCCAGGGAGGGAAGATTGAAATGTGGTTCTGAAGAGTGTGATTATTTCTGTAAACGGTTCAGACACGAACGGTGCCAAAAGCTGAGAAAGCTGGGATGAAAACTCTGCAGTCTCGTACTACTGCTGCAACTGAAAAACACCCCAAACACCTGATCCTTTACACACACTGGGCAATTCTTCCCAAAATGACACAAAAAAATGACTTCATGACTTCCTGTACTCGGGGGAGATGTGTTGGAGCAGCCAAAATGCAATAAGGCTTGAACTGCAAACAGCTGTGGAGTGAAATAGGAAGGAAAGGGATTTAGCTAAACAGACAGAGTTGATTCTATTTCTAATGAAGGAAATACCACTGGTAATGAATGTTTCCTCTCCTACAAACACTTCAAAGAAAATGAAGGGAATAAAAAAGTTAAAAATAAATTAAAAAAACCCCATAGAATCAGTAGACAGACCAATATTTCCAGGCTTTGATGTGCTTTCCTGAATTATGTTCATATGTAAACGTTGAGGCCTTACTGATTCTTATGGTTTTTGACTTTTCGTGCTTATTCCAGCTGCAAAAGGGTTCAGGTAGTAATCACAAATAACTAAAAGCTGGCAGAACTCTGCCACTTAATGACTTCCTGGTGTCTGTGCCACCACTACATTCATTTTTTCTGCTATGCTACTAAAATCCCAAGGGGATGCAGATGACTTATTTTGAGTGGCATCATCAGAAATGTTTCACTTAATATCTCTTGCTGTGTTAGTTCATAGCAGTGATGCAGTTAATGAAGAAGAGAATGTTTTTTGTAAGAGGTAGATGTATCTGATTTTGTATCTACACTAAATGTGTGGGCTACCAGGGACAGAGACTTCCCTTTCTTTTTTGTAGTAGGGCCGAGGTCAAAGACAAGATTAACAAAAAGGTACAATAAAGGTATAACAAAATGGTTCTGTACTATAAATAACAGATCTAGGAAAGTCCTGAAAAAGAAGAAATGGCTTATCCTTCCTATGACAACCTGGGTTTCTGACCTTATGATTGCTGCATATGGGGATGATGTGGAATACATACTCACACAGAGCCAAACAGATAATTCTCTGCTCAATTCCACAGGTGAAAAATCTCTAAAAAATGCTATGAATATACAAGTGAGGAAGAATTCCCACCTGGTCCAAGTCAGGTATTCATTCTAATCCAGCACACAAACACAAGAGCAGGCAGCCAGATGCACAGGGCAGTGGTATTTCAAACTGACCCATACTCATGCCACCAGATATTTTATAAAAATTTAAATTTTAAAACTTCATATTATTGTGAATCTGCCACAAAATAATTTTCAGAATGTCAAATTATCCTTAAAGTGTGAACTACAAAAAAACCAAAAAACCTCTAGTTTTTAAAATTGCCTCTATTTTTTAAACTAAGAAGAAACTTCTCATATTTTTGACTTTACCCTCACAGAATGTTGGTTGGTTGTGCAGTGTTTTGAGTCACCTTCAGCATCAGAAATTTTACAAGAAAGCACCCAAAACTAGACACAGCTCATTTTGGTACCTTGCTCTGGTAATGTTCTATCTAAGCCCTTTATCATTCACTGGAAAATAACAAGTCTACTCTATCATAGAATGGTTTGGGCTGGAAGTGACCTTACAGATCACCCAGTTCCAGCCCACTATGTTCATCAGGGTTGTTACCTGTAGTGGTTGGTTTTGATTAGCCCCTCATGCTATAGTAAAGAGCTGTAGCTTTATTGCTATGGCAATTGCAGTATAATAGTACTTGTTGTAGTAAGAGAAAACCTGACCTCTCCTTTCTCACTTGTTTAGGGTTTGGGGTTTTTTTGCAGTTGCAAGGCTCCTTTCCTTTCTCTGGGAAGGCTTTGCTCCTACTCTCACCTGTACTGAGGTCACAAGAATTACTCTGTTAACTTGGACTTTATGCAGTCCTTTCCTTTGTCTCATTGCCAAGTTTGCCCAAACCTGTTTTCTCCCAAAACAGACATTAATTCTGTACTACCCACATGTTCTTCTTGAACCACCAATTTCTCTGTTAGTGAGGCTGCAAAGCCTTTAACCCAGCCCACAGAAACCCTATCAAGACCTATTGTCTGGGTTGTATAGAAAATGATGCAGTATTTTTTCCTACAGCACAGCAAAGACATGAATAGATGTTTTGATTTATCAAAATTTAAAAGCACATGTGGCATCTGTGTGTGTGAATTGCTGACATAAATATCAATCAAACAAAACAGCAAAGCAGAAAAAGCACTGCTGACCATGGGGGAAAAAAGAGAGCATCAAGCCAACCTGGTTCTCCTCTTTGCTGATTAGCTTTCAGTCCCAGGGTTCAAACAGCTCTGCACAGCTGGGATTCTTGGGACTCCAGCAGTTCCTAAATGGTTTGCATTGAAGGATGGTCTGTAAAGCTCTCACTGGCTTCTGGTTCAATCTGTTAAATGGAGGGAAGTAAACTCAAGACTCACATTTTTATATAACAAATATTTTTAACTCAACCACTTGTAGTCATAACAACAAATCTATGATTTTTATAAAACAATAACAAATAGTTTCTCCTAATGCTATATCCTTAGATATTACCATTCTTATCCTCCCCTCCTGCCACTGCCAAAAATACAGAGATACTAGCCAGCCCTTTTCATATATTTTTTTCCCCGAATCTCAGCTGTTCTTAAAAAAATGTATTGATGTGTTTTCCATTTATGTGTGCAGGTACATCCCCACTGACTCCAGCACAGTCTGACTGACAGTGGTCTTTAGGAAGATCTGATGTGCCACCCCACACTAGGAGAGATATGCCCTTAATGTCCTTATTAGGGTTCAACAGTTATTACTAAAATGAGAATATACTCTTGCAGTGAACAAAGCTGGTGTTTGAAACAGATGCAATTAATTGCAGAAGGAACAGAATCAGGAGAAATGATTTCTTAGCTCACCTGTGACTTTTGTCGATTATATGTATCAAATAATTCTGAGCTGTATAGAAATGAAAAGGAACTTGAATGAGAGGAATTATTTAAGAAGCTTCTTAGTGAAAGATAATTCTGGAGATTTGTCTGATGAATCTTTGTTGTTCTGCTAAATTAAAAGCTAAGTGGCTAACTAAATATTTATAAGTTTCAGAGATGGAGGTGACTCAGGATATGTCTACAGTGGAACGTGTTTCTTAGTTATGACTCATGTGTTTGTGGGTGGATTTTAGCTGAACCTGCCTTGACAGTATGTGATGCTGTACAGCACAAGGCCCCTATTCCTTATGTTTTGAACCCATGATTGGTGCTGAAGCTGACTGGATGAAAAGGGAGGAGAGTCCAGAGCCTGCATCCAGATATCACCTGCAGATGATCTAAGAGATGTCTCCTAACATATTGCCAGAGAATTTGTCTTCCTTCCTCCCTCCCTCCCTCCCCTCCTCCTTTCCCCTCCTTCCCTTCCTGCCCCTCAACAGAATTGGTGAGGTAATTGTGATTTGTGTTCTCCCCTCTCTTCCCCCAAAGCCAGAAGAATTATCCATGGGTCCAGTGGATAAGCTTCTTTCAAGTGAATGGTTTGTTCAGCAAACACTTGCTCTCACTTCTGGTGTGACTTCAGCTTCTGTTTTGCAGAAGGCTGCGTGACTCCAGAGAGAATTAGTGACATGGTTGTAATTCAATTGCCAACATGTAGCCTTGTCCTTCTGACAGTGGTAAGTCCACATCATCTTATGGATCCAGGATGACTGAGCCCAAAGCAATCAGATAATAGAGAGCACAAATGCCAATAAATTGACAGGAACAAGTGAATTTAAGGCTATAAGAAAATATGTACCAGAAAGAGTAGAACACCACCTATCTCAGTGTCCTGCCTCAGGGGCCAAGAGAGGACACCTAAAGTAGAGCATAAGAACAAAGCAAACCTTTGAGAATAATTCCTTTATCTCCAGGGACCTATTTCACAAACAGAGGTGATTTCTGTATTTAATAGTAGCTCATGATGCATTTTTGTTCCATTGATGTATCCAGCTGTTTTTTGGACTAAGTTTCCAACTGCTGTGTTAGATCACACAGCTGGGGCAAAGAAGAGGAAAAGTAAGCTAATGAAATGCTGTTGGTTTGGCTTCAGTTGAAAGAGGAAACCACCCCACTTGTATGCAATATCCTTCCCAACAGCAATTCTGAATCTACCCTAATCACAAGGGCCCTTCAGGGGCTGTGACTTCACTGTGAGGTTCTGAAATGCTGCTTTTTGCAGCCTTCCCCTCAGCTGACAGACACTGACCTTAAACACAAGCAGTTTGAACCTTCACTTCCACTCCCTGGCTTTTTTTGGGATTCAGCCATTTGTTTCTCTCCTGTTTGCATCATACTGATGACTGCAAATAAACTTGTTCCAGGTACACTTCAATCTTGCTCTGCTCTGTGCTCCACAGTGGTAGGTCCATCCAGTGCATTACACAGGAGGACACATTCCCTGGCCCAGTTTCCATCCCTCAGTCCTTTCTTACAGATCTGCTTGAAGTGATGGGTTTGCTCCCTGTGCTGCTCCATGCCCAGCTGTCCTAGGAAGAGCTCCTGCAACTTAGTGTTTCTCAAACTTCAGATGAATTAAAATTTCTGGAGGGGAGGAGGGGGAAGCAAAATAGAGATTAACCAGATAGTCAAGGTGCTTTTCTGGCAGCAAACAGCTTGATGTACTGCAGATAACATACCATGCCAAAAAAAACTCCTGCAAAATGAAGAGCTAAGCATTAAAAATGGGTTTATGAATCAGCAATAGATTCAAAGAGACAGGGGGTATAGGGAAGTAAGACCTGAAAAGAGCCCAAAAGCAGAGGTATGAGGGATGATGACCCATCACGAGGTGATTGCATCCTTCAAGAGGAGGGCAGTGTGACCAGGCAGGAGTGTGGTTCCAAAGTGCATCTTCCATGGAGCAGGGAGAGTTTCACAGCTGAAATTCAGCTTGTGCCTGTACAGGTAGAGCAGAGGGTCTGAGCTAAAATCCTTACTGCAGGCATCATGTATTATTAGCAATCTCTAAGTTACAAGTGGCTGAAACAACCTCTGCAAGAAAGCCTCCATGTCAGATGGGCTTTTATGTTACTGTAAGTCAAGCAGATGAAATAACTGCTTGAATTATTGCCAGCTTAAAACATACATTCTTTAATAAATGCAGTTTGTCTACTTTTTACAAGGCATTGTTTTATTGTAACCATAAAAACTTCAATTCCCTTTCCCTAGTTTATCTTTTGAATTACACTTTTCTGGTTGACTCGCTCTGCAGTCAGTCAGCTTAATTTGTAACTTGTATAGATTTTCTGCCCAGCAACAGCAAAAGGAAAACATTCGACAGAAAAAGATGTCGTACCAGCAAGAGCACAAAACCCGGCACAGTGACTGAGGGGCAAATACGCTGCTGGAAACGTTTTTAGGTTCTTAATTGCTCAGTTTTCAATCTGAGAAAGTTCCAAAATTGTAGGCACAAGAAGGGGCAACAAGACCTGAGAGGGCTGGACAAGACGACACAGCACTGCACATACTTTTCCATCCCAAAGTGCCAGGGTGTGGTTTGGAAACATGGAGCCAGGATAAACGATTATACGCTTTGCTAACTTCAGTGACCTCACAGCGCAAGTATGTGGGACAACCTCTGGCAAAGGGCCCTTCTGCTTTATATAGGTTGCTTTCTGAATCTAATTCTGTAAGTAAATGAAGAGGTCTGAGCAGTGAATCTGTTTAAATAGGTATCAGCTAACAAAGGCCTGGAGCATCTTTACGGCCTAACATACTATGGAGGAGTATCAGAACTAAAGGTATAGATTTTTACAGCCAAAGAGCTGGAGAACTGCTGGGTTACTGGGTTGAGGGGAGACAATGAGGGGCTGAGTGGGGACGGTGAGGGACTGACGAGGGACAATGAGGGGCTGAGGCACTGAGGGGCTCTTTTAAGTGGTGCTCAGCAACAGGACAAGGAGTAATGGCCATAAACTAAAACACAAGAAGTTCCGCCTCTGTGAGGAATGAGGATGAGGATGAATTTCTTCACATTGAGGGTGGCAAGAGCACTGCAACAGCTGTCCAGGGAGGTCATGGAGTTTCCCTCTCTTGGAGACATTCCAAACCCTGGACACGTTCCTGTGTCACCTGCTTCAGGTGACCCTGCCTGGGCAGGGGGGATGAACTGGATGATTTCCAGTTTCCGACCCTAACAGCTCTGGGGTTCTGTGACCGGGGCTATGAAGGAGAGCGGTGAGGGGCTGAGGGATCGAGGTGTGGTGGTGAGGAGCTGAGGGGGAGCAGCGAGGGACCGAGACCGCTGAGACGGGACGGCGACGGGAGGGCGCTGAGGGGCTGAGGCGGGATAAGGGACTGAGAGGAGGCGGTGAGGGGCTGAGGCAGAATGAACCGAGGGACCGAGGCGAGGTGCTGAGGTGAGGCGAGGTGCTGAGGCGGGGCGTGGCGGGAGGGCACTTAGGCGAAAGGTCCGCGAAGGGACTGAGGGACTGAGGCGCTGAAGGGCTGATGGGGAGGCACTGAAGGACCGAGGCGGACTGAGGGGTTCAGGGGCTGAGTCGGGATGAGGGACGGTGAGGGGCTAAGGCAGGATGAGCCGCCGAGGGACTGAGGTAAACTCATGGACCGAGGTCGCGCACTGAGGGACCGAGGCTCGTCGATGAGGCGCTGAGGGACTGAGGCGGGGCACTGAGGGACCGCAGCCAGCCGCTGAGGCACCGGGGCACTGATGGACCGAGGCGGGTCGATGCGACGCTGAGGGGCGGGCGGCGGACGGCGCTGGGCGGAGGCGCTGAGGGCGCGCCCCCTCCCCGCCCCTCGCCCGCTCCCGCCGCCTCTCGCGAGGCCGCCCCCCCTCCCTGCCCGCGCGTCACCGGCGGAGCGGACGGGGACAACATGGCGGAGCGGCGGCGGCACAGGAAGCGCGTCCAGGTACCCGGGACTCCCCCTCCTCTCCATCCCTCCACCCCCGCCGGGCCCCGCGCGGCGCCTCTCGCTCCCCGTCCTCAGGGCGGCTTCCCCCGCTCCTCCGCGGCCTTCCCGTTTGCCAGACGGCGGCTGCAGGCGGCCCGCGGTGAGGGAGGGGAGCGCCCCGGTCTCGGGGCACGGGGGGCGCCTCAGGCCGCGGGGAGAGCCCGGGATGGCACGGGGCGAGCGGGTTTCCCTCAGAATTTTCTGGCAGATCGGTAAACTGTGCAAATAGAGCGCAGGTCGGAGCGTGTCGAGGGGCTGATGGGCGGCCGGCGGGGCCCCCCGGCACATCCGAGGCGCCTCCGCTTCATCCCCGTGGGGTCTGAGCCCTCAGAAGTTCTTCGTCTCTCGATGACCAAAGAGAGAGATTTCAGGCTGTTCCCTGTTTATAATCGCCGTGGCTCTCTCAGGATCGCACCCGTTACCGGTGTGAACAATAGCTTAGTGCGGGTTACACCAAAACACCCGGGAGCTGCACCTTCACCCGGCGTGTCCGGCCCGGGGATCGTAAGCAAAAGACGTGGGACAGATGGTAAAAGCATCTTAAAAGCAAACGTGCCCCAGCCAGGAAATGATGCGTTAAGGAAAGGAAATTAGCGTCTGGAAAACATAAACAAACAGCCGCATCTAAAAATAGACCTAATCAGCTTTGAGATCGTGTTAAAATGTAGTGATAATTGTGCGGTGGCACTGAGAGGCGAAGTGAAGGTGCTGCCGTGGTGCTTTCGCTTACCTGGAAGTCTGGTGTGTCAGCTGGGAGTTTTACAGAGTTTTTAATGCATGTGTTGGGCACAGTTGCGGTATCAGTGACTATAATGCTTATTACTGTTGTGTATTATCAACACTAAGCCTAAACAGTGTTTGTTTGGGATTTATTGCTCTGCTGTAAGAGCAGATAATATTGACAGAGATCAGAGAGCCATTCAACAGTGTGCACTTCATATGTCACCCTTCTGCTTGGTTGCCCTCTCTCCTTTCTCATCTTTCCCCTTCCCAGCCCACTTTGCCTTCCCCCAAGAGGATGGACATCTGCCCATACTTGTAATGGTTCCTTTTTTCCTTTTAATTCAGATTATGGGGGCAGGGGGAGAATTACAAGGAGTAATTAATCAAAATCTTGTTAAACAAGCCTTATCCATCACAGCATTCGATGAATTATTGTAAAACATTACAGAATCATTCTCTTTTTGTGATTGTTATAGACTGTCCCTTTCCAAGGATGACTATGGCTCAATAAAGCATCCATCCAACCCAGTTAAATGCAGTTTAATGTTTTGTGTAACACCCAGGGCTGTGGTCTTGCAGGCAGTTAAGCACATACTTAATTTCCAGCCTGTTAGCAGTAAAAGTATTTCCCAGATTGTTAGTAATTAAATCGATGCCTGGGTGTTAACGCTTAAGGTCGTGGCCTAAATTTGTGATATAATTATGGAGATAAATGTGGATTTTGGTGGGTTCCCAGTGTATGTCAGCAACAATGGGAAGACAAGACCCTGAACAAAGAATACTGGTGAATGCCCAAGGGGTGTTCTTAATTGGTCAGTGAGTAAAACAACACGTTTTTCTTGGTACTTGGTTTTGGTTTGGGGTTTTTTTTTAAGCTTTTTGAACTTTATGGGTATAGTTGCAGCATAAGTATCATGTTTTCTGGCTAATGCTGGAAGTTTCTTCTTTTAAAACGAAGCATGGGATTTGTAGGTGCTTCAGTTGTTTTAGCAGGGTGTACTTAATTTAGTGTGATGTGTGCCCCTTAATGAAGAGATTATTTATCACACTGCAAGCGTGTCTGACACCTGAACACCCCACTGTCACTAAGCAGAGCTGTATTTCTCCACAGCAGTGAGGCTTTTGGGGGCAGGTGGTGTATTTAGCTGTGCTAGAGGCTGATGTAGTGGAGCTCAATTACAATACCCTGTGCACAGAACCTGTGTTTGGAATAATTTTCGTAGGATTTTATGCCTGCCATCAAGATTGGAGTCATGGTAATTGGGTCAGAGAGCTAGACATGAAAACAGTCTGAAAAGATCATTCTGTCCAGTCCACTCTGTGTGCTTCCCATGGGAAGTGGTCACAGGAAGGATGTGTTCTCTGGGATGTATTTTCATCGAAAGACAACGTTGCCCAATCTGTGTTGCACAGTTTAGACTCTTCCTCTGAAAGTTGTGAAACTTGCAAAAATTTTGACTTCAAAAATTTGAACAAAGGTATTTTAGAGGTAAAATTTTCCAAGTGTCATTCCTGGTGGTAATTTAACTGTAATTAACATAGAGATGAATTCGGATGCAGTAGTGAAAGGAGACTGGTCTGTAGGATGCAGATCACTCCCCCAGGGGCTCCCACAGGATTCAAAACTCTGAAATCAAGAATGTTTGCTGTGTTTAAAGGACTGACTGAAAGAACAACAGCATATGTTGTCTAATGGCTGCTTTAATATTTTTATTTTAGCCACATACATCTCAAAAGATGGGAGATGGCTTTGAATGCCTGTTACTCCAGCAACCTGAACAAAACTGTTTCATGTCCTGGAAAAACACCCAGTTCCATCCATGTCCTGAAATATTCCCTTCACCACAGAACCCTCGGCGCTGGTTCCTGTGCCCGGCACTGGGCCGGGTAACACGT